CCGTAGTTTTGTCAAATATACTCGAAACTACAATCCGAGGACAGTTTTGGAATCCTCGTGAATTGGTCTTTCTATAAACATCCGGGTTGTAAAATTAGATCTAAAACTCACTCAGTAAACGCAGCGAATTTATGCGCTTTTTGTTGCGTTTCTTCTTAGCGAATAGATACATGTGACTTTCAAGCCTTCTATGAGAAAAACGAAAAGGCGCATGATAAAATCAAAGGCAGATTTGGATTCGGCACACTTTTTTGAGCTAGGAAAGTGCATTTATTGGAATCTACATAAGGGTTGCGAAACCCGACTTTTTCCCGTCAAAAGTGGTCTTTCCGCCCACTGTGCGCCGCTGAGCACCGAAGGACTGCAAATCAGGCTCCAATTCACGGCGTTTGCTGTGGCCAGATCACAGTGAACACTGGAACCGAGATCACAGTGAACGCCGTGAACTAGTTCACAGCAAACGCCGTGAATTGCATAACAGCAAACATTCGTAATAAATTAACGGCGTTGACAGGACATTTTTTGTAGAGTGAAGGGCATACTTTTACCCTCTATACCGTCCTATACATTCTGACCAGGATTGTGAAGAGTGACTCGCACAAGCAGAGCATCTATTCTGAGCCGCAGGCATTAGAAAACCCAATTTACGGAGAAAGGCAGAATCGGAAATCGAAAGTTGAAAAATCGATTTATCACGTTAAAAAATCGATTTCGGGAAAAATCGATTATCTTGTAACGATTTGTGAATCGACGAATCGAAAATCGATTCGAGTGGCGAAAATGACAACCCTACTTGGGGCCTCTGGGCACTCAGAGGGGCACCCTTTCACACGGTTCGGTACCCGCACTACGAGATTAGAACAAACAATAGGAATGGACTGCTAGCACCTCATGCCTAACTCTCAGGACCAGGAAAAACGTGAAAAAATAGAAAATTCATTCATTTTGACGGCTTTTCTTGTGGCCTTGCGTGCTTGGGGTCCATCCCTATTGGTTGTTCTAAACCCGTAGTGCGGGTTCCCAACTGTGGGAAAGGGTGTCCATCTGAGTGCCTAGAGGCCCCAAGAGACATCACTACTGATAGATTGTCGGAAAAATCCACAATTTGGTGCCCCTGGGAGGTAGGCAAATTGCACGCGGCATCCTAATTCTGTTCGTGGGGCTTGTCTAGTGGTAAAGGCAACCAGCCATGCTGACAGGGTGGACTTGGAGTGGCTGTAGCGGCCTACAAACTGAAACTCTTGCCAATTTGAGCCGAAATTTAGTCACTTTCTGGCCCTGAAAATATCGCAAACCAAAAAGATGGTCAGGCATATTTTTATTCGTAATAAGCGCTAAAAAACAAACAAATCCCCGTTTTGTTTCTGAAAATCGGTCAAAAAATGACCAAGTTACGACTTTTTAGGGGTTCCCAAGAACCCCTATTGTCCGAGGTCCGTGGATTCCTTCCCCCCCCCCTCTCCGATTTTCAAATAAACAACGCTAAACTATTTCAACCATGGAAAAAACGAAAATTCCAATTTTTTTCGAAAATTCATCGTGGAAATTTTCCGTAAACTAGAAAAACATAAATTTGCAACAATCGAAAACGAGAACCGTTAATGATATGAAAAAATGGTTCAAATAAAAAATGTGCCACTCCTCAAAACTAGACCTCCTGGCTCATCAAAAAAACAAGAAATCGTCTGTGTTCTGAGCAAATGGTTAAAACATGAAAAATAATCTCCATGGCAATGGCATGGTCCCATCGTCCCACCCGTCAAAATTTAAAGTCGCCGATAAAGAGAAATCAAAACGCCGTGAAATTCGAAAACGCTAATGCTAACGCATTGCACGGTGTCCCAACGTTGGAACATCTTTAAAGTCTGTCACAAGTAAAAAGTTCGTAGCAGAAACGACGCATCAAATTAATTTTCGTGGGTTGGCACTGATTTGCTTGCTGTCTGCGCCCTTTCGAAAATCGCGAGGCTGAAAAAAAGAGTAGGCGCGCATTGAAACTGCCCCTCCATTGTTGCTGAGGTTGGATTGTTTGGCATGTTGTTAAAGGCTGCGGTTCTCTTGTCATGTTTTCCTCAATTCTGTCGAACAGTTCTTACTCACAACGTAAAAACAGCACGATGGTTGGTTTGACAAACTTTACAAACTCGGGAGGGGTGATTTCGGAACGCGGGTGACTTTCGTTTGGCGAACTTGAGCACTGTAAGTCGCGAGATGGAGTGAGGTGGTCATGGTGTTAACTGAATCAGGTTTGACCAGGCGGTTATTCTATTGGTTAGTTAGAATTAAGCGCATGCGCACTTTGAAATTTTTGGATTTTCTCATTTGACACCTGCACGCTCCAATAAATGGCTATTTTAAAATAGCCAAATGTGAAAATGGGAACACCGTGCAATGCGGTTAGCATTGGAATTTTTTCCTACTAATTCCTATTAATGGCACTGTTAAAAACTTTGAGGGCTCTGCGGAGGTCCTAAAAATCATTTTTTCGAAAAAGGAAAACCACATCTTTTCTTTTTTTCGATGTACAATCCAAATCCGGGAGTCGTTGGACGATCCGAGCAACTTCATTTTTTTGGACCACCTTATAGTACATTCTTATTAGAGCATGCTTCCGAGCACTCTTATTTAAACCATACTTGCTAGGCACCCGCCGAAATAGAGTGTGCCTGGCATGTACTCGCTTAATAAGAGTGTACCTGGGTCATTCTACAGAAATGTTACAATTTCGCAGTTAGAACCGTGAAAAAATAAAAGTTGTCCGATTTCATTCATATTGGGCTTGTTTTTCTTGTTTCGGCATGCAGAATGCGAAACGATATCAAGCGTCACACTTTTCGAGAAAAAAATTTTTCTCCACTGAAATCATAGGGGAAATGTCTACGGAGTTTACATAAATTGACGCCTACGGAGTTTACATTTTGAAGCAAATACCTGGATTGCAGCCGTATGAGTTGGAACAGTAGAACGCGCATACACAGCTGACTAAAGGACCACCAAAGCATTGTTTTTATCCACAATTCGAAAGTTTGACGCACAGGGGATCCGTGGCAAATCGGGTACGGAGTTTACATACAAAAAAAAATACGCGACCCCCTTTTTGAAATTTGGGTACCAATTAGATGCTAGCCATTGGACTCACATCCTTCAAACTTGGTGGCTAGATGTGTTTTTTCATCCGGAATCCATTGTAGTCTTCAGATTGAGGCTGTGACTTCCCGTTTGTCTCCTGTAGTGCCAAACTCGTTACAGTGCACATGTGGATTTTAGGGAAGTAAAAACTTCGGGACAAAAGTTAATTCTGTGCAGGCACAAAGCTTCAAACTTTTTACTAAAGTCAGTGGGATTAAGTTAAAGTATAAAAGTGCCTTAGCAAATAGAGCCGTCGAGAATGATTGTCCTGCGTCTCGTTTAGACATACGAGAGGCGCAAACTTAGTGAACTACGCATCGGGACGGCCACGGAGTTTACATTTTGCACCTTCCGGAGGCCACAGCCATCTGAAAACCTCAGAAACTTTCAAACCCAATAGTGGATCATTTTGAAGCACAAAAAGCACCATCTCACCGCGCAAACCGCGTCTTTCTAGGACGAACCGTTTCGTCACAAAGGGGCAGGGACATCAAATTGTAACATTTCTGTAGAATGACCCACCTGCAAGTACACTTAAACTGGCCCATGCTTTTAGATAGGACTTATCCAGTGTATTTTAGCGTGTACTTGCAGGTGCACTCTTATCTAGCGTGTACATGCCAGGCACAGTTTTTAAGCGAGTGCCTAGCAAGTATGCAGGAAATAAGAGTGTGCGTGGAAGCATGCTGTTATAAGATTGTAATATGTACACACTTCAGTGTGTACTTCAGTGTTACGGTCGCGGAAACCACAACAAAAACAGCACGGAATTGAAAAAAATATTACCTGATGTGTCATTGGGGTTGCTGCGTGTATCTTCTACAGTTGGAACGAACGGAGCGATGAGTCCAGCCGCGGTCTCCTAGTGTCAGGAAGATGACGTGGAATAAGACAATGACTGCGACACTGCTTAACGAATGTGACGTCATATTTGTCAGATTGGTAATCGAGGCAGCAACCACTCGTGAAATCCTGTGCACACTCTATTGGTCGAAATCTTGCGTGAAATCGGTATAGAATTTTGGTGGAATCCCCTCGAAATCTGGTTCAAACTCGTTAAATCCCATCAAAATCTCGCGAAATCTGGCATTATTTTAAGACGTAATCCTCAGAAATCTCGGCGAAATCCCTACTTTCTACTATATAAGATACTCCTTTGTACGAAAGAAAAATTCAAGTTGTTGCCCCCTTGTTAATATAGTCACGTTGGATATGAGGTCACATTCGTTTGAATGTTTGATCTGCGTTTAAACACATGCGACATCCTCACTACACGGGTGAGTCACATTTCAACGAATGTCACTTGAACTTGACAAAGTTCGCATTCAAACGAATATTACGTTACTTTCGTTGAATAACAGTAAACCATGGCAAGGTCAACACGAAATAGGCATGTCTGCTGGTTTACAGGCTATTTAGTCCCAGGGAGTCTCTGTGAAAACCAGGAACAGTTTTCGTTGTGAATGTGGATCAAAAGCTTTAATTTCAGAGTTCTTCCAGAGACTTTGATTAATTCTTCTTGGTGAAACAGGCCACTTTAACTCCAAGGGTAGGACGAACGTGTGGACACACTGCAAATCAAGTGGCAAGTTTGTTTGGCACAAAATTGACTAGCCGTTTTTAATGTCAAAAATATCGGCAAGTCAAGCCTGGCCTGGCCTTGAGGGAGATACTTCACACCTTACCAAAATTCGGCATTGCAAGTGTCACAGTTCTAATACTGGCAAGGGCAAGCCGTGTCGAACGCCAAAAGTTGGCACAAGGCGTTGGGGCCCAATGCCGAATTTCGGTAAGCCGTCTTGAATGCCAAAATTTGGCAGGCCCTGACCAATTTTGTGTCGAGCAAATTTGCAAGTGGACGTGCAGTGAATAGTTTGCGGTATGGAAGGGCATAGTCTCCATAACTTCGTGTTTCACCAGTGCTTCTCTCATTCCAGGACCATGACATTACGTTGAAAAGAATGAGATAAATTGTTCCGTTCCTTTCGAGCCTAGTGTCACAATAATTTGAATGTGAATAAGGTTATTTATGGCCGATTCACATCCAAACGAATGTGACACAAGGCCCGAAAGAAACGCAACATGAGGTGACATTCATTTCGACGTGACGTCACGTTCCAGGAACATGCGTGCACACGTACCTCGTTGTCAAACACGAGGTAGGAGGCCTCGATGAGCTCGCGCGGCGTCTTGGTGCGCAGGAAGGCGACCAGGCCGTCGGGCGAGGCACACTGTGCGCCACAGCCCAGCAGGCTGCCCAGGCGCCCGGCCCTGGCGCTGGCCTCGGCCGGCGTGGCGAAGGCCCAGGCGTTGAGCGCGCACCCGCTGAGCTGCACTGCGCGGTGGAACAGCCCCCGCGACCCCGGCGACATGGCGTGGTAGTGCACCGCCGCGCCGCCCGCGCTGTGGCCCAGCAGCGTCACCGAGGAGGGGTCGCCGCCGAAGCGACGGATGTTGCGCTGCACCCACTGCAGGGCCAGCGCCTGGTCCTTGAGCCCCGCGTTGCCCGGCGCGTCCCGCGACCCCGCCGCCAGGAAGCCTGCAGCAGCAACAACACTGTACGAGGGGTGGTTGGACACACGGCCAGCACAGCAAACACTGAACGAATGTGACGTCACATTCGTTTGAATGTGAATTTGGCGCGGGGGTAACGACTGGTAAATTTCGTGTCAGCCGGATTACGGATTACCCCCAAATTACCTCCAGATCACAACAAATAAATTCCTGGATTACCTTTGGATTTGGCAAGATTACCCCGGATCACCCCAAAATTTTCCCGAATTACCCCGGATTAACTCAAAATTTATGGTCATCCGGATAAGGGATTTCCAATTTGCTGTCAGCCGGATTCCCGAAGTCGTTACCTCCTCGGAATTTTGTCACGTTCGTTCCAATACGATCATATTTGTTTGAATGTTCATTGCCGTTCAAACGAATGTGACACCAGGGATGATACCCAAACCGAAATGATACCATGACTGTTACGACAACAGTTTGCACTTATGATTAAAACTCAAAAAATGTTGCACCTGGAACCAAATGAAGAGCTTTTCCTTGTTGATCAAGGCGTACCGGAGTTTTGTTCCCATATAAGCCAAGTCCAAATTCCGCTTCCCTGAGTTTTGTTCTTTTTGGGGCCTAAATCAACAAAACTCAGGGAAGCGGAATTTGGACTTGGCCCATATGGGAACAAAACTTCGGTACGCCTTGATCAACAAGGGAAAGCTGTTCCCTCGGTTCCAGGTGCTACACTTTTTGAGTTTCAGTCATGTGGGCAAACTGTTGTCGTAACGGCCCTGGTATCGTTTCGGTTTGGGTATCATCCGTGTGTGACACCCGATTAAAACGGCCGAGTCACGTTCCAACGAATGTGACATCGTTTTCAAGCGAACGTGACAAAATTCACATTCCAGCGAATGTGACGTCTTATTCGTTGGCAACAGTGAAGTCAGATCCTGGATTCACAGTGACTCTCTGGAAATCGCCTATGCCGTTACTGTAGGCCAAAAGCAGGAACCGTTTTTTGTGCAACCATGGAAGACTCTTATCGTTTTACGGCGACACTGGTGAAGCAAAGGAGTAAAAAGTGTAAGGACTATTGCATATTGTGAATAGGAGGGCGGGCCTAAGTCACGATGGTACATCGATAACTTTGCTTTACCCGCTCACGGTGTGTGTGATGCGAGCGGGCCGAAGGACCGGACCTTCGACTGGCCAAGTTGGGTCTGATGCGAGGGCCGAAGGCCCGAGAAAAGGCCGCCGGCAGGCCAAGCTGGGACGGCGGCCCCCTGTCGAACCGAGTTGCCGGCGGCGCAGCGAAGCGGAGCTGGCAACTCGGTTCGACGGAAGGGCGCACAGTGGGATAGAAACCCGAAAACGTGGCCAAAATACCCTAAAATGAAACGTGTCCCAGGCCTCTCATAACAGCCTGCGTGCAATGTTAATATCCCAAAACTTCAATATCCAAAATATTTCAGATAGGAATCGACCCATAGAGCTTCCAGTGCCGTCGGAAAAGGAAAAAAAAAATTAAACGAAAATTTTGTGAAAAATAAGCAAAAATTGCTTTATTTAGGCACTGTTTATGACCTGTTTGCACCTTCCCAGATAAAAAGGATTATCCCGTTTAAAGTCCGTTTCTTCCTGAACAAATTTGGGCGTAACAAAAAAGTCTGTAGCCCCAAAGGTGCCTACAAAGTGATTTAAGTAAAACATTCCATTAATTTCATAAAAATCGACAAGATATATTCAATTGACTATAACTAAATTTAACGGCGGTTCACGGTGAAACGGTTTGCGGGAGATCACGCACCAATATGTCGACTACAAGTAGCGAAAATAAATCTTGCTCCAAAGTGCTCCATTTTTAATGCCGTGCGAAATTGTAGAGCTAAATTTAAGGGGAAATCGCGAGAATTTACTAAGTTTTTATTTCTGCAATAAAAAAAAACACTTCAAAAAACAAAAGAAACTGAAGTTGTATTCATTATTGCGTCCGTATTAATAACGTCGAGGGGCACCTTGAGAGGTTGCCGACGACGTCCTTCCGTGTCCCCCATGACGACCCCCGCGTTTGAGCTGGCCATCGAGACCGTCAGGACCCGCATAGGGTGTGAAAACCGTTTTTTCCTGCGGCCACCAGTTTCCGAGATACGAGGACGTACCACGAGGTCGCCGTCGAGGCCGACGAGGAAGTCGTACAAGTTTGGTGTCCAAAGAGGCCATGACGGCGAACGGCGACCCATTTGGAGTCCGGGACTTTTTATGACGGAATTCTCTTCGTGGGTTCTTGAGCTCTCAGGAACTCGATACTGGCCAAGATCTGCGCAGCGGTTTGTCCAGGATGGCGACGAACATCTCGATGTGGGTCGATTTGAAGTTTTTTTTTTTTAGTTCGTCGCCATCCTGGACAAAAGGCTGCGCAGATCTTGGCCAACATCCAGTTCCTGAGAGCTCAAGAACCCACGAAGAGAATACCGTCATCAAAAGTCCCGGACACCCAAAAGGGGTTTACGGGCACGGGCATAGCCTCTTTGGCCTCCAAACATTGTACGACTTCCTCGTCGGCCTCGTCGGCGACCTCGTGGTACGTCCTCGTATCTCGGAAACTGGTGGCCCTAGGAAAAATCGGTCTTCAGGCCGTTTTATGTTGGTCAAGGTCTCCATGGCCAGTCAAATACGAGGGTCACATTTGGGTTTTTTTAGCGGAATTGAAATTTTTTTCCCCCAAAACCTACGAAATTATGTGCCACGTGACAAATTTTTGGGCATTTTTTGAAATTTACCCCCCCTGACCCCCCCCCTGGATATTTTTAAAATTGAATTTTGTTTACAGATTTGAAGTCCTGGACTCTCAATCTATAGGAAATGATGCGTCGCACATGTATATGAGCATTTTTAAAATTTACCCCCCCCCGATCCGCCCCTGGATATTTTCAAAATTAAATTTTGTTTACAGATTTGAAATCCTGGACCCCAATCAATAGGAAATGATGCATCGCACATGCATTAGAGCATTTCTTAATTTGCCCCCTCCCCGATCCGCCCCTGAATATTTTCAAAATTGAATTTTGATTGCAGATTTGAATACCTTGACCCCAAAAACCCTTACACTCCAAAAATTACGCACTTGCCGTTTAAGATGCGTCTGCAAATCAATTTTGGCCACGTTTTCGGGTTTCTATCCCACTGTGGGGCGGGCCCTAGCTTGTTTTGGTATGTAACAAATACACCTTGAAATGATTTTTTAAATGTGATTGAGGTACCCACCATAGCCAGACATCTCAGGAAGGCTGTCACCAAATTTCGTTGTTCGAGGTCAAACCGTTAGGCGTCCAGCGCTGCAAGCGTGCGAAATGGTCTGACCTTACACTCAAAAATGCGTTTTCAACGAAAGCGCTGTACTGCCCTGGCGGATTGACTTTGTGTTGTTTTATACTTTATCTGTTAAAAAATGAACAATTTTTCTCTTTCCGTTTGGTTTTTGTGGCGTTTTTACAAAAGCACTGTTTTTGGAGTGATGTCCACCCTTAATCACAGATTATATTGATCAAATGATTTAACTCAGTGAAATTTGCCTGCGTTTAGGATAAGTTCATTTTATTTTCAGAACGCCCAATAAAGATCTTTTGAAAAGGACCGGTCGATGCCACATTCCTGGAATGAGGGTATGCAAAAAAATAATTGCCATGTTTTCGGCGATGACAGGTAAGAGTAATCGTATAAATACAAGCTTCGTTAGCAAGCTTAGGTTGCTTTCGACGTGAGTCAAACCAAGAAATCAAACCACTATTCGACGGCTCATATTCTGAAGATCTTATCTGGGCGTTACCCCCAAGAGAATCTTATTTTAAACGCAGGTGAATTTCACTTAGTTTGATTATTTGATATAGCTACAAATCAATACAATTTGCAAATAAATTCACTTATGTCTGACGATGATAGATCGAAGAAACCAATGCACAGTGGGCTGGCGGAGCGAAATCTGACATTTAATTCGATTGTGACCGACTGGGTTGCACTTTTGCTATAATTTTAGTACCGATCGATTCGTCCTAAGACGCTTTGTCGATCTGCTTACGTTTCTTTAGTGTACAGGGTAGTGTATTTTGCAATAGTGACAAAAAGTGTTCAAAAACTTATTTTTTGCCATCAGTTCCCATTTGTAAACAGAGTCCAGGCCAAAAATAGGAAAGCAGACCTAACAGGGTACTTCCAAAATCAAAATTAGCAAAAAACGTAAAAAAAATATAAATTTTGACTCAAAATTATTTTTTTAACAAATTCTTAAAAACCGTCAGATTTTACATGAAAACAATGAAGATTGAAAGCAAAAGGCTCCCAATGCCATGAACACCGATAAAATACGCAAAAATATGCGGTTATGAACAAAAATAAGGACAGAATCTGTGAATTTGTGTAAAAAGTGGTGGCGTTAGACGCATCGCATTCTCGTTGGAGCCTCGATGAGCCTTTGATTAAAGTTGGCCCTGGTAGAGGAGGGTCCAATGTACATTTAGGCGTAGAGATCTCCGTCGGGACAAGTAGGAGTCGTTTTGAAACTCAAGTTTAAAATTAAGAAAAAACCTTAAATTCGCAGATTTAACAAGTTTCTAAAATAGGTGTTAACACATGCCACCGAGGAAAAATTGAGTCTAGTTTATGTCCACATGTTCAGTGTGATACCTAAACAAGAGGTCACGTTGAAAACCGGGACGAAAAATACGAGGTGGCTGGAGGAAAATCGTTTCGGCATATGTGTCATTTTTATGATCCACAAGCGGAACGTCAAAAGCCTCAAAATACACTGAAAAAAAAGTGTAGTTAAATTTACCACACTGATCCTAGGTAAACGAGCATTAGTTGATATGACTAGAATTCTAGTCATTTTCACTAGATTTTTAGTTGCATCTACCAGTATGGGTGTGGTAACATTTACCAGCCATCTAGTTAAAAATTCTGGTAGATTTTACTAAACTGTATTGTAATTGTCACCACACTTAAAATCCAGTTAAATTTGATAATTTTGTAACGTACTGCATCCACACAGTCCCCAGCAACCTTCAAAGTTCCGCTTTGAGCCGAAAATCCCTCCTTGATCATAGCATGAGATGAGCGGCCGGACGACGCACAGAGTCCTCAGGTGACGGAGCCGTAGACCCACATGTGGCGTGATAGCGCAGTGGTAACGAGCTTGGCTCGTATGAAGAAGGTTCGGAGTTCGACTCCGGGCAGCGCTGAGGCGAAAAGCGATCGCGATTCAAAGTTGCGTGATGCTTGCACATGAACTTGAACGTCACCTTCATTTTCACATTTTCTTTCTCTTTTTCTTCTTTATTTAGGCTATATTTTAACTAAAAAATTTAGTTATTTTTACCACACGAGGGTGCTGGCGGCATTGTGAGGATAACCAGAATTCTGGTAATTTTTACCAGACGGACGCTAACTAGGCAGTGTGGTATTTGTTACTAGAATTCTAGTTGGTTCCTATTTTACTACACATTCTGGTAAATGGCACTAAAATTCTGGTTGGCCTAACTAAACTTTTTTTTCAGTGTACAAAGTTTTCAGGTGCCATTCTCACTGTGATACGGCTAGTATATCTAGCTGGTATGTTCATTTCCTTGAAGACTGAACCTTTTCGAACACCATCTCGTACAAATCCGATGCAAAAAATAACTTTGAAAAACTGAATTAAATGTCGGTTTTGCCAATCTCAGCCCACTGTGCAATGGTGCATGTAGAAATTTTTTCCGCTTTCTCTCGTATTCTTTCCAAATAATCAAACTGCATTTAAGATACGATTTTCTGGGAGGAAACGCCCAGATAAGATCTTTTGAATTGGACCCCTCGTATTGCGTTATTGCCTGCGTAACAAAACATATTATTTGGAATTATGTTGGGTTCACCTGGGCCCGGGCCCAGGTGCGAATTTGGTGCGAATATTTTCTACATAATACAAACGCAATTCGTTAAAGTATCTATAAGGTAGAGTGAGGTCTCAAAGATTTGGTATGAAGTTAGCTGCACCACCATAATAAAGACAGTTTTCTCAATTATATAGACAATCTTCATCACTCAACTTTAAGAGTGGGGGAAGTGGACGTTTTGGTCCGCACCGGGGATCCTTAACTTCTAACATCTTGTCAAAAGGGTAAGTTATTTTTTTATGTCTCGAATTTGTGTAGATATACGTTTGCAAAGTACTTTCACAAGTCCGTACCCTTTACCTTTAGCGAACATTGTCTTATGCTAGGTTTTGAAAGCAGTGTTAGTTAAATGTTGAGTTAAGGTTACTGTAAAGTGAAAAAATGTGAAATATCATTTTCCACAATAGTTGTGGCATCATGTTTGTATTTTGGTTTTTAGTTGCTTACTATAAAATGAACTTAAACCCAAAGTTGAGGAACACAACTCCCATTAGTTTCTGAGTTATTGAAGTTTACGTAACAAATTTAGTCGTTTCTCCTAAATTCTCCTTGCGATGAACCAAAAGTTGTCGAGACTTGATTTTTGTTTTACAAGCTCTTTATTGCTTTGTCTATCTTGTAGCAAAGCCGGATTTCCAAATTTCCAACATCAAACAGGAGTTTTTCTCAAAAAACTAAAAAAATTACCAAAATTTTACTAAATTTAGTAAAAAAAGAAAATCACATTTTTCTAAAACAAATTCCAGCTATCCTATGCATATATTGTCAAATCCGGCTTTGCTAGTTTGTTTGCATGTACATTGAACTTCAAAATAAAAAATCACACCTCCGTAAACTTTTTGGTTCATCGCAAGGAGAATTTTTAGTAAACGACTAAAATAACATTAAAACCCTCATAACTTTGGAACTAATGGGAGTTGGGAGTCCAGTCTGTGGCTGTAAAAGTTTTTCATAGTAAGCAACTAAATCACCAAAAACCAAAGCACTGCCACCTATACTTTGGAAGATAGTTTTTTCACCTTACAGTAACCTTAAGGGGGGACCCTGGTGAAAAAATCGCCATAATTCCAAAAAATAGTATTTTTAAAATTCATAGATAAAAATGTGCAAAGAAGATTCAGATTCCACAGGTTGAACACCTTCAAGCTTAGTGGGTACTTTCTTTATCATTTGGAAGGAAAGAACAATGAGATCAGTTGTCGTTGGCTCCTCCAACTTCACAGCTTTGCTCAGTCAACAAAAAAATTTGTCGTAAAAAGACTTCCTGCGTTCCTGGTTGACACCTACAGGAGTCGTCTTGCATGGACTGTATTCATAGATGACTAATAGACAAATTTTAGTGACGGAATCTTGATATCAGCCCTACTTTTTTTTAACACACCTAATAGTTTGAAAAAAGGGGAAAAAATCACTTTTTTAAGGGGGAACACCAGTGAAAATGCAGAGGTTTCGAAAAACGATCATTCTGAGAAAAGTAACCTATGTATTCGATTGATATTATATTCTTTGCTCAAAATTATATCAAAGGAAAGAAAAATCAGTATGGGAGGGCAGGGTGGCGATGGCAAGACGGAGCGCCAGTGCACTTCATTTTTCTGCGACCTTGCTTCACTCCTGCCACGATTCCGCCTCTCTAGATTGAGCCTTGAGCACGGGATTTGAAAATTTCTCAACAGGACACTTGTGGCTATGGTCTGAACCACGGGCATGCTAAAAGAATGACTTTGAATTTGTTTTTTCAGAAGGCAAAAATAGAGACAAATTTTTTAACCAATTTTTTCGCGCTTTCATGGCTGCTGCTCACGTTCTACGTATGGAATGGCCATTTCCGAGGTTCAGACCATAGACGCTATTTTTACAAACATTTTGCCGCAAACCGCATTAAATTATCTCAATTTTTGCGCCCGTGAGAGTGGCACAAAGGTACAAAAAAGGTGTTTTGAGTAAAAGCCCTTTTAGTAGAAACACTGATTTGACGTGTTTTTTTTTCGAATTATAAATGCGCCTTATGACGTATTTTAGTTCGGTTTGCGCCAAAATGTTCTCTTTTACAACTGCGTTTGGTTGGTTCAAGGGTTTTGTTATTGGACTTTAAGTGGAAAACCTGAACGTTAACAATTGGTCTAAAATTTGCAAAAGTAATTACCTTTCTAGCAACTGAAAAAATGTGCACGAGCCAAAGTTATTGGAATTTTGGGGTGGAGTTTGCGGCGTTCGACTCGGGATGAATAGCAGAAAAATAAGATAAAATAAAAAAGAAGGCCAAAATTTGACGATTTTCACTGGTGTGCCCCCTTAAATGTTAAAATTTGAAAACTCATATCTCAGGACAGAAGTTGAATTTGAAAATTCCGTCACTAAAATCTCTTCTATACATCTTTAGAATAACCCAAAAAAAATTTCATGACTTTCCGTCTCAATGAAAGACGCAGGAAGATTTTTCCCCAACGCTCTAAAAAACACTTAAAAGCCACTTTTCTCAGAGACCGTTCAACATTATGGATTGAATTTTGTTTTGGGAACTCAACATAATGAACCTAATAATTAAGCAAAGTTTCAACTTTCTGGGATTATTTTGAAGCCTACTTGAAAGTTTCACCAGGGTCCCCCCTTAAGTTAAGGATCCTTGCGCAAATGTTCAGTTGGCGGCGTGCAAATATGACGTCATCTCTTTAAGGGATGGGCCGGGGGGGGGGGAATCGGTTTCACGTAACCTACCCATGTATTTAAGATAGGGGGCCGTACCCCCTCAGTGGCCGTCCCCCTCCCCAAAAAAAAAGAAAAAAGAAGAAAAAAGACATAATATTTGCACGCCGCCTACTGCCGATTTGGGGGCAGTTTTATTTTGAACGGCCGGTTCTTGGCGATTCCAAACTGCATCGCTAAAAACGACTTTGGATCATCGCCTTTGGATCGGCCGCGTTGGAGTGCCCCGGCTGCGCACGCCGGCGAGACTGACCGAGGGCGCCCAGGCGGTACTGCACGGTGACCAGCACCACGTCCTCGCGGAGCAGGAAGTCCGGCCCGTAGATGTGGCTGTTGGCCGTGCCGGTGTAGAAGGCGCCGCCGTGCAGAAACACCACCACGGGGCTCAGCTTGGCGCTCCCCAGGTCCTCGTCGTCCTCCGAGCCCGCCGCGCGAATCTGCAGAAACAAAAGACTGCCGTTAGGATGCTCGACCCTATAAACTCAGAGAATCCAAACGCAAAATGTACAGCGTCAATTGGTGAAAGACGTTTGAAGTAGTTCTCAAAGCAAAAGGTGCGCACCGGTAAAACTGGTAGGCACTTTGTACCGTACACAGAGAAAATTTTGCCTTCACCTAATGACAATTTCAAGGCGAATTTTCCTTTCAGGAATTTCATCTTAACAACTGACGTCTGTCACGCCCATGCAATGAGTAGAGCATGCGAACATTTGACTTTTGCAATTAACGTTATATCTGCATCTCGTAAACGGCTAGAGATAGAGAAGTTATTCATAGGGATGACCCCATATGAAATTAAATTTGAGATGAAGTCAACCATATGAATAATCTCTGGCCGTACGAGATACAGAAATAACGTTAATTCCAAAGGAATGTTAGCACGCTCTGGTAATGAGACCAGGATCTCTGATAAAACTGTTATAAATTTGTGATGAATTTGTCATCATCTAGAAGTAACGAAAATATGATCTAAAATTTGTCATCAATGACAGCAAATTTCTACTGTCCATGTCCGCTGGACTCTTTATGTCTAGCAATGTAAATGCGTAAGGGAAATCAATATTTCTTCATAATACAAGTCTGGTTTTATTTCATTTTTTGATCAAGAGAGAACTGAATTTCCAAGTGTGGGACAGGCTTGCACTAGATAACGTGGGACAAACTGTCCCACGTTTGCAAGAGTGGGACAGTCACACGCTTACAAGCGTGCGACAAACCGTGTCCCACGCTTGTAATCGTGGGACATTTTGTCCAACGTTATCTAGTGCATGCCTTTCCTACACTTGGATTTTCAGTGAGCAGCCTTCAGCACGCAGCGAAAATCTAAGTTCCTATTACTATTTGCCACTTCCTATTGCCAGTTCCTTTTGCCTTTTGATTTAATTTGAACGAACCTAACACTCTCATTCCAGAAGAAGGAAATCACGTTGACACAGGAGTGACATAATGTCACGCTACGTTGAGCATTGTGTCCCGCTCGTCAAGATGATTCTCAGCGGTAAATTGATCCAGGAAACGGAAGACTTACTTATGTCTCCAAATTGAGTTTTTATCTTACAAGGTAGGTTTACGCCAGACCGCGTCTTGTCGTAACAGGCTTCGCGATGTCTCGCTGCCTGTTCCTCCAATCCACGCCTGGCGTACCTACCTTGGCCTGCGGCGCTAGCCTGCCTGCGGCAGGCAATAGCTTGTCCATTGTCGGTTATTTTTTAACTTGTTGAATGGTGAGGGGCTCCGCCCCCCAGACCCCCCTACATTCTAAAAAGAGTTGTTTTATCTAAAGATAACACGATCTTGACCCTTGTCACTTTTTAACTTGTCGAGGCTGGGGGGCTCCGCCCCCCAGACCCCCCTTTCTCCAAGCCGGAAGTGATCTTTCTGCAGAAAGCTCTATTTTTCGCCGTTTTTTAGGTGTTTTTCGGCTATAAAAACTGAACCAGTCGAGCTAGGATGGTGAAATTTCGCGTGTGCCGAGCCAAGGATATACCCAAGAAGTGTGCAAAATCTCACCGAGATCGGCGAAGCCGTTCAGGAGGAGTAGTGCACACAGACACACAGACAGACAGACAGACAGACATGAAAAACTTTTCAACCCCACTGGAGTAACAGGCTTCGCTATCGCTCAGCCAATTATTGTGCCTCAAGGTGGTTTGCATCATTACACCCAATGGTTTTACCCAATTATTAACAGTTTATGAGAAAATCCACATAAAAATCGATATAACTCAACTTGACCCCGTTTAGGATCAAAATTTCATCGAAAGATGGAATCCACTTAACTCCATTGCACAAAATGGTGAAAGGAGGTAACTCAACTTGTGCCTTTAGGAATCTTATGTAAAAAGAATCAACTTAACTTGACCCATCAAAATTTGGAAAAAGAGGTATCTCCGAAAATGTACCACAGCAATACAGACTCTATACAGACCTCAGCTCCACTAGAGTTGTGTCCAAATTCGGCCTTGTTTGGTAGAACTAGGTGAACATGCACTGCAAGAAAAATTGTGAATAGTACAACAAATGTACAACAAAAACTGTACAATTACAGTAGATCAGGCATTGCAAAAAGTACAACGAGAATTGTACAAACCACAACGAGGCCTGGACTGCACAGGACTTGTCATGCCGGTCCCATTGTGCTTTGTACAACAATTGTTAATTAATTCTTGTACTTTGAAAGAACAACAAAAACCTGATAAAAAAATTGCCACAAATTTGTGTACATTTGTTGTGGTTTTTTCTTGCAGTGTGGTTCCGTAGTCCATTCCGACGTAAAGATTTAACTCACAGAAACCGTCTTTAGAAGGATGCTACAGTTTTGGAAATATTTACATATGTTTCTTAGGCTTTCTTAAAGATATGCAATTGCATCATTCATCTGATAAGCAGGGCGAAGATAAAGTTTACCCTGCAAACATTTTTTTTGTTTCTCCAGAAAGATGATAATAATTGAATTATTCCTTTCTTTCGCTTTCATGGATCAATTACGGCATAGCATTGAAGGCATTTGGAGTGTGTCCGGTGGCTGGCTCGACCTGTTTGGTGTACACGTTGAGGAACAGGCAGTCCTCCTGCTGCGCCCAGAAGCGTTGGATCTGCTGCCACAGCCGCGGCAGCGAGGACACGATGTTCCAGGCGCGGCGCAGCGACGGCAGCTCCATCTGCAGGCATTCGTGCAAGCAACACTGTTATTCTAAGTGTGATAGTAAAATATTCTTGTGAACTTGGTCAGGACGTTAGAAAACTGTCTGAAATCGTGAACAAAATTCGCGCACCTCTGAATGCTAAAAACGTATTCTGACGCTGAGTAGAACTCAGGCAACCAATATCAGAGTAAGTTTTCCGAATCACAGCTTTTGGAGGAGCGCGAACTTTGATACGGATTTCGGACATGTTTCTGACCTTCTCACAAAATTCACGCGAGTGAACTCATTTCACATTACAATATTATTGTAAATGCATTGTTATACTCTCAGTTTCGTGCAGGAACAGGAGGTTTACGATTATTTCGACATTATCGTGTTGACGTTAGGATGCATTAATAGGGCTATTAAAAATTTTTGTTTGAAAAAATAACAATTTTATCAGTAACTTACTGACATTTCGACGGGTCCTATTCAAAAGGTCTTATATGTATGGACGTTCCCTCTAAGAGAATCTTATTTTAAACGCAGCCAATTTTTACTTGGTTTGATCATTTGATACAGCTACAAACCAATACAAATTGTAGAGTAGTCCAATTTAAGAAAAGACACTTAGTGGTACGACCCCCTCCGATCGTCCTGATGTTTTGTGGTCATGTTATCAACCTTAAAAGACTTCAAAAGCCAAAATATTATGTCCGGCAAAAATTTATTGGCTGCGTTGTAGCCCAGCAAAGTAACACAAACATTAATTTGGGTATTTTGCCTCATGTAATCAATTCTTGCGCCAAGTGGCTGAGACAGGGGCCCCGTTACGTAAAATTGTCCAAGGAACAAGATTTTGCCCACAGATCGGACCTGCCGCCAATATTTCTTGACAATATGGCCTAAGAACCACAAAAAATTGACTAAAATAGCACATTTGTCTTTGGATTTTCGGGATATTGTAGTTTTGTTGGCCCTTGAGTGTCTTGAATCGATAGAAAAAATTGTTCTGAATCCAATGAGCACTCACCCACATTCGTATCTCCAGCCGTTTAGAAGTGATGGCGCTCCAAAGCTTGATTTTTGGAAAATTTCGCGTCGTCTAAGCGCTAATGAATAGCCAAAAACGCGAATTTACCCAAAAATCAAGCTTTGGAGCGCCATTAGCGCTCATTAGCGCTTAGACGACGCGAAATTTTCCAAAAATCAAGCTTTGGAGCGCCATCACTTCTAAACGGCTGGAGATACGAATGTGGGTGAGTGCTCATTGGATTCAGAACAATTTTTTCTATCGATTCAAGACACTCAAGGGCCAACAAAACTACAATATCCCGAAAATCCAAAGACAAATGTGCTATTTTAGTCAATTTTTGTGGTTTTTAGGCCATTTGTCAAGAAATTTTGGCCGCAGGTCCGATCTGTGGGCAAAATCTTGATCCTTGGACAATTTTACGTAACGGGGCGCCTGTCTCAGCTACTTGGCGCAAAAATTGATTCCATGAGGCAACATACCCAAATTCATGTTTGTGTAACTTTGCTGGGCTATAACTCAGCCAATAAATTTTTGCCGGACATAATATTTTGGCTTTTGTAGTCTTTTTAGATTGATAACATGCCCACAAAACATCAGGACGATCAGAGGGGGTCGTACCACTAAGTGCCTTTTCTTAAATAGGATTACTCGTAAGTAAATTCACTTAAATCTGAAGATGAAAGATCTAAGAAACTAATAGCGCATGTAGAAATATTTTCCGCCAACTCTCGTTTCCGTTCCACATGACCAAAATGAATAAATTGGCCTGCCTTTAAGATAAGAGTCACTCCGGGGAATGCCCAGATAAGATCTTTTGTATAGTAAGGGAGGGTGGGGCACCATGACCACTGGGGCACCATGACCACCCCCCTCGCTCTCGGGAACTACTTTGCCGACGGCAACCGGTCGACCGGACTTTCGAGAGAATAGAATTCTAACTATTTTCAGCCAGAGCCCTACCTTCTAGCTTCAAGGGTACGACCATAGCACCTCGCCAAAATTTTTGTTACAGCGTTTTGGCTAAATTGGTCGTTTTTCAAATCTGAGATATTTTTTCTCACTCTCACATTTGAGGAGATAAGTTCCATGTCTTAGGTTTTTCTCAAAATGTCGGCTCTCCGGCAAAATATTCAACATCACATTGAATTCTAAGTAGCTTTTTGCTTGCTCGGGGAGCCTTAGAGTCGCAAACTGCATTGTGGGGAGCCATGACCACTTTTTAGTGGGGCACCATGACCATACATATTTGAGTGTTTTTTCTCATGTTTTGGCCTGATAATGATTTATTTTCGTCGAAAATTTGCTGTTTGCTTCTGAAATTGTATAAAGGTTGAATAATTGCTGCAGAATAGATAGTTTTATCACAAATCGTGAATCACCAGGATGATTGAGAATGGTTCTGAAACTGAGACTTGAAATGGTAGTTTCTCTTGCACTACATGAGCTCCAAACCGCAAAAGTTGGCCGCGAAGGCGATCCGTGGCTACTTTGCACCAAGATGGCTCTGGCATTATGAGAAACAGCATTTAATTCACTTGTTTGCAGTGTAGTAACCGCGATAATTTTCTTAAAATTTACCCAATTGGAATCTGCATACGAATTTGGATTCGTCTTAGCAAGACAAACATAAAATGTTAACACATGTCATAGGTTTGGATGTGAAATTTGAAAGCCTTAGAGCGTTAACTGTTTTAAACCGCCCATTTTAAGGCATCTTAGAACGTTTGATACTTCGAAGGTTTTTACAGTGTTTTTTAGTTAAGTTGACTGGCCTGATGGTAAGGACAGCGATATAAACAATTTCAATGAGAATACTGGTAGAAAGTAAACTTTTTTGGGCCAAAAAATTACCATGGTCATGGTGCCCCACGGGGTGGTCATGGTGCCCCATAGGTGGGGCGCCATGACCACTTTGCGTTTTATTTTCCTAAGTGTTCTGTGAGCCTGCCGTGCATTGCAGACAAGTTCTAATGGGTGGAAGAGGTCCTTGGAGGTCCAATGAATCCTGTCATGCTGGAAACTTAACTTTTCGAACCACACGGTGGAGTAGAGGGAGGCACGAAAAAAAAGTGGTCATGGTTCCCCACCCTCCCTAACCCCTCGATATCTTTTCGATACATTTTTTTCATTTTTAGGCGACAATTCAGTACGTGCAGCCAGCAGCTACAGAATTTGAAGGCACTTCATCAGCTTTTTTACAGCTCCATAACCTATCTTTAGTCGTGTCGGAGCTTTTGATAAAATTGGGCAACAGTCATAACATCTTTTTGGGTTGTCCGATGGACAAACGGGTGCCGGATTCGTATTCCTCGCGTGACTTTACGAACGGGACCCAGCTTAAGGGGGCACACCAGTGAAAATCGTCAAATTTTGGCCTTCTTTTTTATTTTATCTTATTTTTCTGCTATTCATCCCGAGTCGAACGCCGCAAACTCCACCCCAAAATTCCAATAACTTTGGCTCGTGCACATTTTTTCAGTTGCTAGAAAGGTAATTACTTTTGCAAATTTTAGACCAATTGTTAACGTTCAGGTTTTCCACTTAAAGTCCAATAACAAAACCCTTGAACCAACCAAACGCAGTTGTAAAAGAGAACATTTTGGCGCAAACCGAACTAAAATACGTCATAAGGCGCATTTATAATTCGAAAAAAAAACACGTCAAATCAGTGTTTCTACTAAAAGGGCTTTTACTCAAAACACCTTTTTTGTACCTTTGTGCCACTCTCACGGGCGCAAAAATTGAGATAATTTAATGCGGTTTGCGGCAAAATGTTTGTAAAAATAGCGTCTATGGTCTGAACCTCGGAAATGGCCATTCCATACGTAGAACGTGAGCAGCAGCCATGAAAGCGCGAAAAAATTGGTTAAAAAATTTGTCTCTATTTTTGCCTTCTGAAAAAACAAATTCAAAGTCATTCTTTTAGCATGCCCGTGGTTCAGACCATAGCCACAAGTGTCCTGTTGAGAAATTTTCAAATCCCGTGCTCAAGGCTCAATCTAGAGAGGCGGAATCGTGGCAGGAGTGAAGCAAGGTCGCAGAAAAATGAAGTGCACTGGCGCTCCGTCTTGCCATCGCCACCCTGCCCTCCCATACTGATTTTTCTTTCCTTTGATATAATTTTGAGCAAAGAATATAATATCAATCGAATACATAGGTTACTTTTCTCAGAATGATCGTTTTTCGAAACCTCTGCATTTTCACTGGTGTGCCCCCTTAATCGTGTGCATGGAGGCCCCAGAAAGGTGATTTTTTAAATTCTGGTCAAATTATTTGAAAAGTTGTCAGAGAAAAGGAAAATTGCCCATAAAATCTATACCGTGCATATTTCGGCCCAAAAATTTTGGGGCCTTTCTTAGGCCCACAAGAACCCTTCTTAGACCCCCTTTGGCCAAAAAATCATCATCGGTCTTTAAAAAACTGCCTCGTCACATCCAGATAGCAAAACCGCAAGTGCAAAAAAGTGGCAAATACAGCATTAAGGGGGGACATCACTCCAAAATGATCAAAAATTGCAAGTTTCTTTTATTTTTATATTAAAGGGGGATCTTCACTTATCCTAAAACTCACTAGCCCTAATGCTCACTCACCCTAATTTCACCAGGCCTAATATGTACATGGCCGAACGGGTTTGGAGTGCTGTTTCACTCATCCTAATTTTCACTTGCCCGAATTGTCACATGCCCTAAACTTTCTGGTGCTGACCCGTTTTCCAATGGTGTGGGTGCTTTGTTTCACTAGACCTAATTCTCATTTACCCTAAATGTCGTATGGCCGAAAGATGCACGTGCGTAGGAAGTGTTTCACTCGGCCTAATTTTCACTTGGCCGAATTGTCACTTGCCCTAAAACTGTAGGAGGAGTGGGGGTACGGCAGCGCACAGTGGGCTGAGATCCGTAAAAACGACATTTAATACCATTTTTTCAAAATCATTTTTTGGATTGGCTGTGTGTGAGTTA